TAGTTTTTCTGATTATGTTCAATATTTAAATTCCAACTTATACAATCTTGTCTTCACCCCCGAGTGGAATAAACATGAGATCCATTTTTTGGATCTTGATATTTTTTGTGATCAGGGTCAAATTCAAACTAAATGTTTTTTTTAAACCAACAGATGGGAATGGCTTTGTACACCAACAAAGCTGTCACCATAAGCCTTGGCTTAGGGGCATAGCACGGAGCCAATTTACCAGATTGAGACGCAATTGTTCTCGCCCTCAAGACTTCCAGACTCAATCTTCCCATATAAAAAATAAATTATGTGCAAGGGGTTACAATAAGAATACGTTAGAAAAAGAAATTCGATCAATTGGTCTCCTTGAACGGAACAAACTCCTGGAGGATAAACCTCCTAATACTGTTGGGAATAAGAATTTTAAATCAGCCTTTGTCACCCAATATAATACGGATCATTTTAAGATCAAAAGGAGCCTAAGTGATTTTTGGCCCATATTACAACAGGATCCCATTTTGGGTAATTCTTTGTCTGAACGCCCGATGGTGATATTTAAGAAAAATAAGAACTTTAAAAATATGCTAGCCCCTAGCTATGCTATTAAAATGAATAGTTCTAATGTATCCCCTGAATCGGGTTGTTTTAGGGGATGTAATGTGTGCAAAGCATGTACCACCGCCTCTATGGGGAGAACTAAGGAATTTATTAGCCATATCACGGGGGAGACTTTCAAGATTAAATCATTAATAGGTTGCCACACGGACTATGTAGTATACTTACTGCAGTGTCCGTGTGGCAAACAGTATGTGGGACGCACGAAACGTATCCTGAAAGTCAGGATCTTGGAACACCTAAATAATATACGTAAAGGACTGGTTACTCATTCAGTCTCTGCCCATTGCAGTAATTGTCCATCCTTCTCCTTTAGAGATTTCAAGTGTATGGGTATCGAACATGTCCTTCCCTACTGGCGGGGAGGTGATAGGATTAAAAAGTTATCCCAAAGGGAAACCTTTTGGATACACAAACTAAAGACCCTTGAACCTAGGGGCCTGAATATTGGGATCGATCTGGTGTGTTTCTTGGACTGATTTTTTGGTTATTCTTCTCCTTTATGTAAATTATTCCATAAGTATCTTTGGGAATATGAGGAGCTCTGGCAGTCTAAATATAGGGAAAAAGAAGTGTCTTTAATCAATACAATTCATAATTTATATAATAAAAAAAAAAAAAAAATCTTTATATTATATAGTTAGGTGTACCTTGCAGGTTATATGGTTTAAAATGATTATTATTGATATTGAGGGAACTTTTTTTAGGAATATATTATTTGTGTTCTTATTTTTTGAATAATGAGATGTTTGTCACTTTAAATAGACATACATGGCACTATTCAATGGTGTATGATATTGTCATATATATAATATGTGGGGAAGTTCCATATGAACTATCTTAACATGGTTGTTGTATATTACATGCACTAATTCACTTTTCTTCTTTTAAAGATTAATTACATTTAATGCATTTAACACTTTTGGGCTTTGTCCTTTTGATGATCACTTATATTGATGGCTCCTCGCTGTTCTAGTTGAAAAAGAGCAGTAAATGTATTTGGAACGCATTGGAGCGTGTTTGGAACGCATATGGAACGCAAATGGAACGCGGAAGTGAAGGCAGACATCCACTTCCGGTTTCGGCTTTTACATTGAACGCGCCCTTTTTAAACTACCCAAACACTATCAGCTGGAGGACAATACCCCTGGATAGATGATTGGCTGGCTACTGGATACTCCTACACTATGGACCAATGGGACTTTGGGACTAGCCCTATATATAGAGATTCTGTTAAGGGGAAAGTAGGATGTTATTTTACAATCTATGATATTGTCTGTGATTTTTTTACTGTGCGGTCCCTGATGAAGTTCTAGTCTTGAACGAAACGCGTTGGACCTATTGCTGCACTTTTAAACCTTTATTCTTATGGTGCTTGTTCACCTTTTAAGAAAATAAAAGTATTGCTTTTCTACTATTACTAACCTGGAGTCCCGTGTTCCATTGGTCGCCTTACATCGGATAGGGGAAACCACTAGCCCCCTATGCTATCTGGGGAGGCACCCTATGAATGCTTTTTCATCTTCATCATCTTGTGAGTGCATCCATTTAAGCGCACTATTCACTGTATTTACTGTATCACACTATTGTGTTTTTTCCTTTATATGTTCCCTCTATAGATTATACAGCCGTATCCCATTTCTGTCTGGGGTTCTATGCTTTAACGACACCTCTTTGGAATTCAGGTCTTTTCTTCTCTACTTTTTTAATGCAGTAGGAAGCTCTTCGATTCAGGGATAATAATGTCTTGGATTTCCGGCTTCTCTAATATGCGTATTTTTAATTTATGTTTAATGCTCACTGGGTTAACCTCACAAGCGCCAGAGGAGTCTGTCATTTACTGCACTGCACTCTGCACCCATTTACACAAGTGACCATTCTTCTATAACCGGCTTGTCAATCCAATAGAAGCTGTTACTAAGTAGTTTCATTCATCCTTTTCATGAGAAGAATAAGTAGACATACTCATTTGCCACAAACAATGTCAATTCAAAGGTAAGATTTTTTCATTTTTCTTTTCATTTCATTATTCAAATTTTGCATTTCTCGATTAATTATCTTTACAATTAGCTAAATATACAGGCAGTAAATACAACCCCGGGTGCTTTTTCAATGATTCCAGTTTATATCAGCCTGTTATAGGGAAACATTAAGGTGATGGATGTATGAGTTACAATTGCGGCTCACTTAATGTGTTTTTGTCTATACAGCTAAACCATTGTGTACTTTGCCTAAGGCAGATTTTACTCAAAAAAGGCATCAAACCCAGCGAGAATGTGTTTAGATAATTGTTCACAACAATAAAATCAAATAAAAATCAAATAAATAAAACATGTTTTAAGCATGACTGATGCCATAAAAACATAGATTTAATGCGTGTTGTCAAACAAACTAGCCTGCAAAGGGTACTCCAGGCGCTCACACGTGTGACACGATGTGTAGGTTATGGTTAGCAAAAACAAACAGAAGATATGAGAGCCCTGAGGACGGGTAAAAACGGAACAGCTTGCCTTCTCGATTAGTCCCCACTTGGGTCTCAAAAAGGTTCTGCTCACATGTGCTCTTACAGAACGAGTCTTTGCCTGTTGAATATTAATCTGACCCACCAACAAGGGTAAGTCCAAATCCAATATGGTGGCATGCTCCCTCTCCACAAGAGATAAAGCAATCCTCGACAATTATTTTGGCCTTCTTTGGGCCTTTTCAGTGAAGTGTAGCTCATGTCCCTCTAGGCCAGTGTTTCCCAACCCAGTCCTCAAGGCACACCTACCAGTCCAGGATTTAGGGATTACAGGGTGTGTCTAAGGTGTTTTTACAAAGAAGAAAAAAAACACCTTAGACACAACTGGGTAATCCCTAAATCCTGGACTGGTAGGTGTGCCTTGAGGACTGGGTTGGGAAACACTGCTCTAGGCACAGTGAGTAAATTACCATTTTTACGTAAAGAGACACCAAGGCTACAGCTAGATTAGGTTAAGATACAGTTGGTTCTGCTGGGCTTTTTTTTTTTTTTTTAATTGTATTAATAATCAGAGCACCTTGCTTTGAGTGCCAGAAGAGCCCTATTTTTTGGCACTCAAAATATTCTTGACAAAACTCATTGGGACTGCATAGGAATACTTATTTTACCATTACCATCACAATAAGCAGCAGTAGTTATGGTACTAAGTGTGGCCCTTTAAAAATGTGCGGATGAAATAAATGTGAATTGGGAATATTATTTTAAACTGAATAATGTTATGTGATAGAGACACTTTAATTATAATTATTTTTCATTTTAGCTAAAGTTTAGTCTTCCAAAGAACAGCATTCTCAGTACTTCTACATACGTCAAATACTAATGTAAAGTAGTATATTATGTTTACCCGTAATTGGAGTATTAATGAGCCAAAATCAATAAAGTTGTTCCAATTAACACACATTATAGTTCTGATTTTATTTTCTAGGAACACTTTAACTTTAATGTTCTTTTTTTATATGACTAACTGTGCTTCAACTTGTTTTTATTTAAAAATGGTTGGTCTCTTATGTAAACTATCCGAGTTTTATTTGCCAGAATGGGAGTCATTTTACCATGAGATCCGTCTTTGTGAAGCCACATCTGGTAAGACGTTTGTATTGTAAATCCTTATCTACACAAAACAGTGTAAACTTTTTATTTCTAAACAGAGTTTCTTCAAGGTTGAACATTACATCCATTGCAACAAAGTAATGGTGAGCATTCTAAAACCTCTACATGGCATGTTTCCTTCACAGAATTATGAAAAAATAACACAATTAAGGTCAATTCAGTAAACATTCATTATGGTGAAATAATAAACAAATTAAAAAAAAATATAGACAGAAAATAGGCAGGCTGGGACTATAATTGATTTTGGGAGTTATCCAAATCAGCTTTTTTTTTTTTTTTTGCTTCAATTGCAATTCCATTTTCAATTAAATCATGAAAACTTAGTTATTCACTAAATTCAAATGTGGAATTCAGAAGGGATTTGCATTTTTTTTTTCTAATTTTTCACCAAGCTGCTATCATAGATAAGTTAAAGATTTAATTTTTTTTCCAAATTCGCCTAATTTGAATATATCATTAAAATTCCCCAGGTGAATTCCTAATTATACTTGGTTTAGTGAATCACTGAAAACTAAGTCTGTACCTTAAATTGTGGAGATTTTAAAATAGGATTTCACAAGAACTAGAGCAGAGTTGGATAATTTTTCCATCTCATATATTTTGCCATTCAATATAATTAACTGTTTATTAAAGAAACACTAAAGTCACCTAAATTACTTTAGCTAAATAAAGCAGTTTTAGTGTATACATCATTCCCCTGCAATTTCACTGCTCAATTCACTGTCATTTAGGAGTTAAATCACTTTGTTTCTGTTTATGCAGCCCTAGCCACACCTCCCCTGGCTATGATTGACAGAGCCTGCATGAAAAAAAAAAACTAGTTTCACTTTCAAACAGATGTAATTTACCTTAAATAATTGTATCTCAATCTCTAAATTGAACTTTAATCACATACAGGAGGCTCTTGCAGGGTCTAGCAAGCTATTAACATAGCAGGGGATAAGAAAATCTTAATTAAACAGAACTTGCAATAAAGAAAGCCTAAATAGGGCTCTCTTTACAGGAAGTGTTTATGGAAGGCTGTGCAAGTCACATGTAGGGAGGTGTGACTAGGGTTCATAAACAAAGGGATTTAACTCCTATATGGCAGAGGATTGAGCAGTGAGGCTCAAAACTGCTTCATTAAGCTAAAGTTGTTCAGGTGACTATAGTGTCCCTTTAAATAAACCTTGGAGCCTATTAACCCCTTAAGGACACAGCTTCAGAAGCTTGTCTTACGCTTAATGACACAAGCAATTTTTGCATTTTCTTGCTGTATGCGTTCAACTGCAATTTGCATCTCTCTCGTTTATTGCACCGACACATATTATATACTGTTTTTTAAAGGACATGATGTAACATATATATATATAAATGCTTATTTATTATTTAAAAAATACAGAAAAATGCAAAAAAAAGAAAAAATTTGTGTTTTTTGTACAGTTTTTGCAATAATAATGTGTGCCTAATTAGTGCAGGTTAAAGAAAGTAATTAAAAATAAATTTATTTAGTTGTTCTGATTTACAAAATATATAATGTGTCTGGGATTTAAAGTTTTTTTTGGTAGTTACAGGTCATAAAGCACAAGGAGTAAAATAAACTTTTAATGTAGAGCGATTTTAGAATTTTGTATGTTTGTCTTGTAAGCTTAATAGCCATAAAAGAAAACAAAATTGCCACACAAAAGTATATATTTATATAAAGTAGACATCACAGGCTATTGTCCTAAGGTTTTTTTGACACTTTCTAAGTAGCCATTTCACCGCCAATCTCTGCTAAATATTGGAGTAAAATTTAGTTTTTTGGAGTTTTTGGCACACAAACTTATAACAAAGAACTTCCCATGTATATTTTGTAAAGTTGGTGTGTGCTATTCCTGTACAAAGTTTTATTTTGTGTTCAGTTACTTCTGCTGAGTACAACGATACCCCCATTGTATGTCTTTGGCACTATTTCGTGAAGCTACAGTGCCATATAGGAGACCTGTCCGTTTCAACATTTACAGTAGAATTTTGAGAGGCGGATTTAATGGGCCTATGCTTCAATTTGGGGTATTATAGCAGTTTGACTGTTCAAAAAAAACCCACAAAGGCCTACCATTTATAAAAGTAGACACTCCAGGGTATCTCATATGGTGCATATTGTGCCTTAACATGCCCCCATTTTTCACCAATATATGCCAAAGTATGTGGTAAAAAATAATTTTGGGCATTTTTTACATACGGATTACATTTTTGCTGGGCATTTTGTACATTTCATATGTGCCACTAAGTTCAAACCCCCCAAATTATGCTCAGCTAAGTCTTCTGAGTAAAACAATATGCCCAATGTATGACCTAGACACTATTTTGTGAAGTTACACTGCTATAAAAGAGACGTAACAAGTTAAGGTTTTTAAGTGTGAATTTTCATGGAGGGTTTTGATGCGTCCGTGCCCACTTTGGAGCACTTGAGCAGGCTACATATTACAACTACACCATAAAGGCATACCATTTCTTAAAGAACACATCCCAGGGTATTTCAAAAGGCATATTTTGAACCTTAGCGTGGGATAATTTTTCCGCTAGCTTGTACCAAGTGTAATGGTAATAAGCGTTTTTTTGCCTTTTTGACACACAAAGTAAATTTGCGCAGTACATTTTGCAAATCTTATGTGTGCTACGACTGTATAATACTTCATATGTTGCTCAGCTATGTCGGCTGAGTACATCAATACCCCCGTATGTACCTTTGCCAGGTATATGTGGACATCGGAGGGGCACATTTGGGACACAGCCATTCCAGTTCATTTCAAACTTTAAATTTTTACACTGTTCCCATGTCCCATTTTAGAGTATTTTACCAGGCTATATAATCCAAATACCCCATAAAGCCATACCATTTCTTAAAGAAGACATCCCGGGGTAATTCAAAAGGCATATTTTGAACCTTAGCGTGGGATAATTTTTCCGCTAGCTTGTACCAAGTGTAGTGGTAATAAGCATTTTTTCTGCCTTTTTGACACACAAAGTGAGTTTGCGCAGTATATTTTGCAAACCTTATGTGTACTACGACTGTATACTACTTCATATGTTGCTCAGCTATGTCGGCTGAGTACATCAATACCCCCGTATGTACCTTTGCCAGGTTTATGTGGACATTGAAGGGGCACATTTGAGACACAGCCATTCCATTTTTTTAAACTTTGAATTTTTACGCTGTGTCCATGTCCCATTTTAGAGTATTTTAAAAGGCTATATAATCCAATTACACCATAAAGGCATACCATTTCTTAAAGAAGACATCCCGGGGTAATTCAAAAGGCATATTTTGAACCTTAGCGTGGGATAATTTTTCCGCTAGCTTGTACCAAGTGTAGTGGTAATAAGCATTTTTTCTGCCTTTTTGACACACAAAGTGAGTTTGCGCAGTATATTTTGCAAACCTTATGTGTACTACGACTGTATACTACTTCATATGTTGTTCAGCTATGTCGCTGAGTACAGCAATACCCCGTATGTACCTTTGCCAGGTATATGTGGACATTGAAGGGGCACATTTGAGACACAGCCATTCCAGTTTTTTCCAAACTTTGAATTTTTACGCTGTGTCCATGTCCCATTTTAGAGTATTTTACAAGGCTATATCATCCAATTACACCATAAAGGCATATCATTTCTTAAAGAAGACATCCCAGGGTAATTCAAAAGGCATATTTTGAACCTTAGCGTGGGATAATATTTCCGCTAGCTTGTACCAAGTGTAGTGGTAATGAGCATTTTTAAATGTATTTTTTACTTTGTAAAACTTTTTTTACTTTGTAAAACCCATTTTTAAACTTTTTTTTTTACTTATTAAATGTTTTACACTATCTTAACTTTTTTTACACTTTTAATTTTTTTCTAAACTTTTCTTTTACCGTTAACCCCTAACTAGCAGTAAGCAGCACTAACCGTAAATTCCCCATTTTCCCATAACTCCCACCCACCCCAGCTAGCAAAATATTTAATTATAAAATATTTAAATTAATTAATTAAATAAATGGAACCCCTGAGGGTTAAAAAAAATAAATAAAAGTTAATCCTCAGGGGTTAAAAAAATTAGATCACAGTATAATACTGTGATCTGTATTTTTATCACTGTAGGCAGTGATCAGCTGGCAGGGAAGGGGTTGATTTTTATTTAGACTGGGTAAAGGGGGTGGTATTTTTTTTTTTTTACTTAAACGTTACTAAAACATTTAAAAAAACATTTTTTTTTTACCTTTTTAAAGCTTATTTTAAAACTTTTTTTAACGTTAACCCCTAGTTAGCCTAACACCAAATTCCCCAATTCCCCACTAACTTCCACCCATCCCAGCTAGCTAAATATATAATTTTTTAATATTTAAATTAATAAATAAAATAAATTTAACCCCTGAGGATTAAAAAAATAATAATTAACCCTCAGGGGTTAAAAAAAAAAATCAGATGACATTAAAATGTATACCCTGCCAATTGATCACTGTAGTCAGTGATCAATTGGCAGGGAAGGGGTTAATTTTATTAAAACAGGGGCAGGGGGGGTGGGATTTAACTTTAATTTATTTTTTTTTTACACAGGGAAGCAGATCAGCACTGATCCGTCTCCCTGCACTTCACACAGAACCCGGAAGTGCAGGGAGGCGGAAGGTGAGTATGTGGAGCACATGTGCTCGCTCTGACATGCTGTCAGAGCCAGCACCGGTGCTGGGGCAGCCCGATCGGGTGCTCCCGGTCTGCCTCTAATGCAGAGGCAGACCGGAGCAACGTTAACCCCGCGATTGCCGCGATCGCGGCAATCTGGGGTTAACTTAAGAAAATGACGGAAATTTTCCGTCAACGGTCCTTAACTGAAGGACAAGGTTGACGGAAAATTTCCGTCCACGGTCGGGAAGGGGTTAAAGAGTCAGTCGTAGCACCTTAACAGTCTATACTACCTATTGCATCATTTATGGAACTGGAGTCTGCTTTTAATATGTTCCAGTTTACAGTGTTTTGTAATCACTTTACCCTTTTGCTATCAGAAGAGAGAGAATGATGTTTCACTTCTTTCTCTCTGTTTGTAATGTATCTACTTTCTGTGATTGGTGTGCTTACTATCTTGATAGGGTCACTACCATTGGCTACTCAATTCACTCAATTCTTTGCAATGTTTTCTGGGTCTGAAAGAATGGTGCACTCTTAAGGATATTAACTCTTTGAGACATGTTCTGTGGTATGGGATACGGTATATATGGTATATATTAAAAATTCAAGTCATTGGCCACTACTAGCCATGCCTTAAAAGTTACAATCCATTAGAAGCCTGGAGGGCCCATGACACAAACCGCAAGTGAATTTATATATATTATTATTTATTTTTATAAAGTGCCAACAAATTCCGCAGCACTGTACAGTAGCTGGACTAACAAACAAGGATTTGCAACAAGATAAGTAGGACACACAGGAGCAGTTCATTTGTAGTGGTTATGGTGCTTGGAGCTTTCCTTTAATGTCCCCATTTCCAGTTCATATGCCACGAGCTTTAAAATACAGCTTAATGGCTGTCCCAATAGACTAAGTGCAAAATCTAACACTGTGAAAACCCCTATATGCCAGGGACTCTGTAACTGTGTTTTACGTTTTAACAGAACAAAATTTTAGATTGTATTTGACACCAGAGTGACGTCTGTATTGCTGTGCTGGAGAGCCTCGATAGTCCATAGATGAACTGTTAACCTTTTTTACGAATTCTTGGCAGCTGATTTTTACATAATTCTCTTCTACCCCTGATTCTATAATATTCCTCCCTTTATATAAATAACCATGCACTGTAGTGAAAATGATTAATAATGTTTACTAAAAATAATGTTTACCCACGCGTGGTATAACAAACAATATGTTCTGCATGTACAAAAAGTAAAGAGGGAATCCCTCGTAATCACTATTAGACCAATGCCACTTCAGGCTGTCATCAATACCTGAGCTCTGAAAACATTGTGCCAGGATAAAATGTCCTGTGT